CCAGGCAGCAAGGAGCAAAGAAAAGGAAGAAAGAAAGTGGGTAACATTTTTAGAGAATTTTAGAAGAAGAAACTGAATTATGCCAAGAACCATTTTATATATTATTGTCATTCCAAAGACGATCTGTCCTGAATGAATCATTTCTGGCTTTTCCTGATGAACAAACAATATTACATTTCCCTTACTTTTTCTATTTGTGTCCCTTTCCTGTGAACCTTATTTGGTCTTACTCTTTGTTATTTCTCTTATGTTACTCTTCTGAACTATAGCCTGGAATGTTTAGGACAGCAATGCAGAATTTGCCCTTTGCTCCCACACCCTGGCCATCATCAGGAGATTGTGTTTATGCTCAGGGCATTTTTATTTATTAAAAGATTTTTTGGTGGGTAGGGGTTTACATGCACATAGATAAGAAACATTCAGACCCTCAGGTATGTTTGAAATATTTTTAGCAAACATGCTTTAGCTGAAATTTTATTAATGAGAACTCTGTAATACTATCTTTGCATATCTGTATTAATTTTACTGAGAATTTCTCTCTGTTGTAATAATAATAAATAAATATGAGAAAGGTCAAGTAGAACTGATAGTTATATAACAGAAATTGTCTCTTCTTACTCTAGGCTGACTCCCAGCCCAGTCTGTAGAACCACTTTTAACAATTAAAATGTTTCTCCCCACACATGTCTTATCTTCGTACAAGCCTATATATATATGTGTGTATGAATGTGTGTATGTGTGTGTGTGTGTGTGTGTGTGTATCTGACATGTCTTTTACATTTTTATAAGAGAGGTCATCTATAAAAATGTGTGAATTGATTCATACCCTACTTTTCTTAGTGCCCTTGCTGTGTCAGCTACCATTGATCTCATTTTTTTTAATGGCTACATCTTGTTTCTTTGTGTGGATACTTATTTTTCAGATCTTTATTAAGTTTTCAGTGTTTTGTGGCTATCTATGCTGCCATGAATATTCTTCTACATCTATTTCTGCTCACATATGTAAGAGTGGCGGTGGGATACATTCCTGCCTGTGTCATTTTAGGTCCAAGTACGTGGCAGTTTACATTTTTGTAGACATTGGAGAAACTGTCTTTCACATAGACGTCGAAAGTGTATAACTTTCTCTTACAGAGGACGAGTGCATGTTTTGTGTGCTTTTGGTGGTACTAAATATTACCAGACTCTCTGTGTATCAATTTTGCTTCTGTTTGCTGCTCAAAATGATGATCATCAAATAACTATGAAGCACCGTCTGAACTATTAAAGAAAATGCAAGTGTTCATTACAGTTTCAGTAGTGTTTATCTTCAGAGACTAACTCTCTGAAAAAATATTCATGACACATACGCACATCCCCTCTAATCACCAGAGCATTGGTTTGTTCAAGGCATCTCAATGTTGTACACCATCCCAGGTAACCAAGTCTATTGTGTATCTTGCTGCTTTTCTCCTAAGGATCCAATGGTCAGTTCCCCACCCCACCCCCTTTTGTTATTCTTTTTCCTCTTCCTCTTTTTTTAAACCTTCACTGCTGTGGACTTAGTTTGGGCTTCTTAGTAGATCCTGAATATATCTGTGAATCAGAGTTTCTGAAATCAGCCCCCAAGTGTAAGTTTTCATTAGCTGAGGAACCTTGTTTAGATGTCTTCAAAAAGGTGCTAAAGCTTGACTGGGTTTTCAGAATAGTTAAATGCTTTTCTAAGGTCATGTAGATAGTTAAATGTCATAGCTAGAATGAGAACCTGCCCCTCACTGGTCAGAAAGATATGAGTCTGGTGTTCCAATCTTGGCTTTATTAGTTATTATCTCTGTGACCTTTGGCAATTTTTTCTTTCATTATTTTTTCAAATGGGAATTGGACACCCTGCTCTGTTGACTTCAAACAATTTTGTGAGGCTCAAATAAAATTGCTTTGAAAACTGTGAAACGAAACAGTTTGCCTTCTTCGCAATCTCTGTTACCTTTCACTGTGGGAGCTAATTTGAAGTCTTAAGAAGGAATTCATCATTTCGTAGATCTGCTGAATATTTTGGGGTATTGTTTTGCTTCCTTTTTCTCTTTACATTTGCGAATGATTTGCTTATAAGACTGCTCAACAATCTGTAAAATCTATAAATCAGGAAAGCTGTCTTAAGTCATTATAAATGTCTAAAAAATGAAATTCTTCATCTATATTTTGGACATTTCACTTTTATTTATTTCTTCTCAAAAGTTCCAAACACAGTAGAGCTATATTTTAGAATTACTGAGGATATTGTGACATTATTGATATTTCATTTTCATTTTGTGGTGGTCTGTTACATGTTAACAACTGGATTTCCATTTCCTGAAACACAGAAAATATATTTATCTTCATTAAAGGGAGAAATGTATTTAGTAATTACATTTTGTCTTTTGTTTATATATATTGAAGGTCAAGTGGATATCATTGGAAATCTGGACATGTGGGCAAATTGGGTAATCAGTCATACATGATGTCACAAAATAAAGGAAATTTTATTAAGGTAAGAAAATACCATTTGATTCTCAGGCAATTTGCTAAGAAGATCTAAATTACTTTTTCAGATCTTTCTTTCCCTTCCATGCTTAAGAAACTACTATTCTTGTTTTAACAACTTTGTATTATTATTGGATTTCAATTAAATTTCACGGGTTAATATGTAACTTTCATTATTCAGATATATTTTTGTTTTTCCTGTGCAAGTTGATTTTTTTAAATTTACCTTGAGTTGAATTTTTCTAAACTGAATTTTTCCATTCAACTCCGTTCTGGTTTCAAGTATGTCAAATAGAACTATGTAGTTCTATATGAGGTGAAAACGAAGTTATCTGATATAACAAAGGACAGACTTTTTTTAATGCCTTATTATTTCACATTTGTTTAATGTGTTTGTGTTCTGCTTGAATAATAATTATTCATAAACTCTTGATTACATGTGTGAAGATACCCAAGGAAAAACACTTTAAAATTTCCCAGCTATAGAATTACTTTACCTTTACTATCTATTGTAAAATATAACATTCCATTATATTTAAGGTCAAAACCAGATGAGTGTCTTTATGTAAAGAAAACTGTTTTCTTTCTGGATTCTTTAGTATGAGATCCGTGGCTTTGTAAGTTTTAACTTACATAGCTTTTTCTTTTTTATATACCTATCATTAAACTTTCATTGGGCCAGTTAGCATCTACAAACATCTTACTCAGCACTTCTAACTTTTTTGGCTTCGGAAAGGCATTTTATTCTTTAGTGTGATTCTCCTACTGAGATAGTTTCTTTACTTTTGGATTAGAAGTTTTATAATCCATTTTCTAGTTTTCATTATCTTTCTGAGACAGTGTTCTATGCTTTAGATGTTGTAAATATCATATTTTAAAAGTGCTCTTTGTGATTATTGATTTATTTATTCAGTGGTATTTATTAACTGCTTTCTTTGCCTTTTAGTGAATTATCCTTGTTCTAAAGGAGATCCTTACCTAATGTGAAAGATGATGCATATATGAACATATTTATAGGAAAAGTCACTGTAATTTTTGCCATTTAGTGTATGAATCATTTGTGCTTGGGAGATTGTAATTTAGTTCTACAAATATTTGAAAGTCTACTATATATATATTTGTAAGGAAGAAGTGATGAATAAATAAGTCATAATGCCAGTTCCCATAAACCTCATAATTGAGTAGCAAGGTGAATGCGTAGGGGGCTGGGGGCTCCAGAAGGTGGCAGTAGAAAGTAAGATTGGGCAGGAGAAGGGGAGGCCTGAATACCAGACTCAGGAGTCTTGAATTTTTCATTGGGTGAGTGGAACTCCCTGACAGCTTTGGAGCATGAGGGTAGCAAGATCCAGGTAATGATGTGCGATGGTTGATCTTGTTAATGTCCAGTTCATTTACAGTTTATAGGTAGAGTATAGAGCAAATGCTATTCAAACTGTTTGGATCATGTACCACATCAATAAAGGATATATTTTAAGAATGATCTTTCTACCCATGAACTTTGTATACATACTGATTTACTAATATATCATGTACATTGTAAAACAAAATACGGAAATTAATCAAGGATGATATAAACATGAATAAATGTTTCATTTCTTCTCTTTGATCTTTTCCCGAGTCCCCTCAGGCATGCATACATGCTACTTTGGAGGCCACTGGTACAGAGGCAGAGAGACTATTTAGAAGACTATTAAAAGAATCTAGAGGTCAGATGAGAAGAGTCTGAATTAGAATGTAGCAAACGAAATATAAAGGAAATAAGGAACCAAAACACAGTGAGAAGGGAAAAGAGGAAGTTAAATATATAACTGATATTCCAGGATGAATTGTCTAGGAGATAGAATAAATAAAAGAGCTGGGAAAAAAGTTCAGGGGTATAGATTTAGAGCTGGCTAGTTGGTTTCCTCCTTTTCTCCCTCTGTTCCTCCCTCCCTCTCTTTCTTTCCCCAGCTTTACTGAGGTATAATTGGCAAATAAATGTGTAAGATATTTAAAGTGTACAACATGATGATTTGTTATCCATACACATCGTGAGTGGATTTCCACCATCAAGTTAAATAACACATCCGTATTTACCTTTTATAAAAAAAAATTAGAACATTTAAGTTCTCCTCTTAAGCAAATTTCAAAGATTTAGGGTTTCGTTTGAATTCACATGAGTTAGTTGAGGCTGAGTGAGTAAATGTTCTCCCTAAGATTTTATACAAAGGAGAGAAAAAGTGTAGGGGATAAAGGGCAGGTATGATGGATAGAGCTCAGAAAATATGGAGGCGAAGAGAACTTTAATGCTGACTCACTCTCTGTTTTATGCCAGTCAACAGTGTGTGTGTCCTGTTTTGTCTCATTAAGTGCTTGTATCTCTCCTAAGGGGCAGTTGTTATTTTTCCAGTTCCACAGGTGAAGTAATTTAACATCCAAAAAGTTAAATAACTTGCTCTTGTCAAGGGTCAGGGCCAAGATTTGGAATGCAGGCTTTCAGGCTAGTTCTAAGATAATTTGCCAGCTCTCCATAAATGGGAGCCTGAGAAGAGAAAGAACTGGAGAAGTGGAGTGAAGGTAATGTAATTTCATGGAAGAAAGAAGTAAAATATAATGTTTTTAGAGAAAAAGTGGAAGACTCAACCTTGACTGATATGTTGTATAGTGGAAAAAAATTGACTATAGTTTTATACCAGTGTCTCTCAACAGGGGGCAATTTTGTCCCCCAGGAGACATCTGGCAGTGTCTGGACACATTCTTAGTTATCACCACTGAGAGGGATGTTTTTGCTAATGGTGTGTGGTGGCTACAAGCCAGGGGTGCTGCTGTACATCCCACAGTGCACTGGGCAGCTCCCACAACAATTATTTGGCCTAGAATGTCAATGGTACCACAGTCAAGAGCCCTGTGCTAGTCTGTATGGATTAAAATCCTGCTTCATTTGATTAGCTTTGTGATTTTAGGCAAGTGACATAACCTTTCTTGGGCTTCTGTTACCATATTTGTAAACAGGCATACCAATATTTGCTGACTACCTCCTGGAGTTTTGAACAATGTGAGATAATCTGTGTGCAACCAATTGTAACATTAACAGACAATCACATTAAAATGTTTATTTACAGAGAATGAGAATTTTTAAAAACACTAAATTTGATTTGATGGTTGGGTCGTTATAAGATGTAAAAATGTATGTACAGATGTAAAAATAAATTTCAAGTGGTTGAAAAAGAAAGGCAGCTGGCAATGAGTAAAGACTGAAGTTTCAATGAGCATGAGAACAAAGGATGCCTCTTAAGGGTTTAAGAGGATCAAGGAAATATTTTATTGCATTGTTTTTTAGAATCAAAGGAAGATATGGGCCAGTTTGTAGCTGAGGGGTAGACTCACTACTGGAGGAAAGATGGAAGGTTCAGATGAGAGAGGTGCTGGTTGCTAGGGGTGTAGTCTTTGAGGAGGTGGCTCCTTGAGGAGAACTTGGCCAAGGGAAGGAAGGCACATTTTCTCTGAGACAAGAAAGATGGGAGAGAAACCAGGGGGCAGTAAAGGTACAGTTTTAGAGGCTGCTTTTGACAGGCGGAGAGGCAGGAAGCTGTGGGAAACTCTTAATGGACGACCTCAACATTCTTAGTAAATTTGAAGGCAAGATAATCTGTTCAGATTAAGGAAGGGAAATAGGTGGATTTGAGTTTTTAGCAGTGAATGAGTAAGTGGGTTGCTAAAGAGCCACAGGAGCCCACTGGGCTTGTTCAGCATGGGTCTGTAGGGGACGCAGTGGGCATTGTTTCATCACAATGGTAGGTGGATATGGGAGGTCCAAGAGGAAGGAGATAAGGTGATTGTGGTTAGCACTGAAAAACTCTTGAGTTGGGGCTTTTGAAGGTGTGGCCATTCAGATTACTGCTTACATTCAAGGTTTGGTCATAACGGTCAGGTGGTCGAAGAGGCACTTGGATGTTCACAGTAGTCAGCGTGTTGGAGAGTTTTCAGCATCAGTATGTCGTGTGAACACGGACAGTGACATCTCCACGATCAAAACCCAGAAACATGATGGAGAGAAACACTGAGCAGACTGCTAAGGTTCACGTGGAAGAGGATCCTGGGTATTGATAAAGGCAGTGAGTGGATGGTGAGGACCTTCAGTGGAGACCACTTTGCCGACTGATGAGAGAGGAGCAATATTCTGGAAGCAGCACCGAGGAGCAAACAGGGAGGCCGTTTCCCTTCTCTCCCAGTGAGTGAAAGGCGGTAAGAGTAGAACTCGTTCCTCTGGAGAGTTCTGTGGAGAAGGTTGTCTGGGAGGAAATGTGGGTCCACTTAATGTGAGCTTTTGGAAGAGAGATCTTTAGGAAAGGTTTCAGGCGTGTGATAGTTGAATGACTGGTTAATAAGGGCTTCAGAGAAGGGCAGGGCAGCCTGGACAGAAGGACTAGTAAGTAGAAAATGGCAAAGGTTAGGTAGCTGATTGGACTGAGAAGGAGACTATTAGAAAAGGTGGGTTGTGAAGGAGTGTGGGCCCAGTGCAGCACACTAGGGCATTAGTGGGAGGTTGGAGGCATCTGTGAATGCCAGGGAGGCTGATGAAAACGGCACGGTCTGACCCCAATGGTCCGGATGATTTGTCTGTGTGGTAGAACCACTAAGCTGCTCTGGCCCCTGATGGCACCTTTTGGCATCTCCTGGTGGAGGCATAAGTGGGTTAATAAGGTATAGGCTTCAGTATATTGAGTTCCTTATGTTTTATATATACATGCATATGAACATCCATATATCTATATCTATATGTGTATATACATAGGTATGTGTGTGTTTGTTGTGTGTATCCCTGGTCCAGACCTACTCTACCCTCATCTCTTCCCCAACAGATAAAAATCGGACTTAGTAGGAAATTGTATTTGCCTAAAAATAGCAGCTAGCAGTCTTCATTGAAATATTTTTATGCAGTTTGATTCATCTGAAGTAAATATGGCTATATTCATAGAACAGAAAAATCTTATTCACAGTAACAAGAACAAACTATAAAATTTCCCTAATAATGGGTTTAGTTTGCTTTGATGTCTCCATCCTGCCCAGGTAGCCTGTAACCACATGGATCATGTTGCAATTCAGATGTATCATTAAGGTAATAATGTTGGATAATTTGGTTATGAAAAATGAGATTAAATTATCTGTAACTTGTATAACACTGCCAGTTTAAAAATAAAAGTGTGATCCACATAAACATTGATTATTTCAATCCTATTTGCCTGTCTGCTGTGTTTGGTACACAGCATCTGAACAGCTCTTTAAAGAATGTGAACAAACAAATGCCCCTTTGAAGGAAAACCACTAGACTCACTGAGAATAATTAGGCCTAAATTTCCAAAGATAACTGCAGTTGGTACAGCCATAGACATAGAGGCAGCCATTGTTCTCATTGTCTCCTGTACAAATTGGGCAATTGAGCATGCAAATTGAAAACGAGGCATGCATTGACAGTGTGTGTGTGTGTGAATGTGCACAATGCACCATGAACGTCTGTGTACTTCAGATGTTTTAACAAGACCAAGACATCTATGTGCAGTTGGGGAATCGGTTTCATTGCTTAAGATCCAAGGATTTTAAGTGATTATTTATTTGAAATATCTAGCCGTGATTCTTACTTGCTCAATTTTTTGTCTACAACTTGGGAAAGTCAGGGATCACAATATATTTGAAGGTTATGTCTATGATGCTTAAACATGTCGTTCTCTAAGTTGATAATGATAATGATACTAGCTTCTGCAGTTATGC